AGAGAAAAAAAAAAAAAAAAAAAAACAGATTAATGAAAGAGTTCACCTTGCGATGAGAATTAAGTTAACAAAAAGCAAATAAAATCAAATGGAAACAAATAACTAAAGAGAAAAAGAGTTTTGACTCAAGTGAAATGCAATTATGCAAAAATATGTTAGACGACATAATTTTAAAATTGACTTACGTAATCTGTATTCAGCATTAAATTAGTCCAGATAACTAAAAGATATCAAGGGAGGAAGCAGAATAAGCAGGCATCCTCAATTAATAATAAAATAGTGATCATTAGTAAATTTAATTACCATTTCTCTTTTTATCTGATCAAAAGATTGCTTGTCCAATTTGTCAATACTCGAACATATGGTTCTGAACTTATCAGATGGCACTCCACAAATTTCTAACATTCCATCCAATAGCCTACGGTGATTCAATTTTATCTGCAGAAGAGAATATGTACAAAATAGATTAGGTTAAAGATTTAGCCACAAAGTGGAGTAAAAAATCAATGGCAGTAACAATATGAATACACTGAGGCAACTCGGTGTTATAGAAAATCAGGTATCCAATCCACTCTTCTAGGCATATGATAATAAGGGTGAATGTGCTTATAATATATTAGGTTTATGTTTTGTGCTATACTTGCTGATTCATCATAATTATTTAGAACAGCTAGTCCTTTTCTGCAGAACAATTAATCAAAAAGGTTACCTCGTACTGTCCGATGTTCAGTTCATCAAGTAGCTCGGTTAGTATCTTAATAACTTCAAAATCAGGCCCCATCTTTTCATACTGACCAGCAATATCAAAATCACACTGATAAAACTCACGGAATCTTCCCTTAGATGGGTTGTCTCTTCTGTAAACTTTTGCTATTTGATACCTTTTGAATGATGTTATACCATTCATAGCAACATACCTAGCAAACGGAACAGTCAAGTCGTATCTAAGCGAACAGAGCTCCCCTCCCTGTAAACAGATTGGAAAACAAATTAAAATGATTTAGAACAAAAAAAGAACGACAAGAAGTTATTGCACTGTCACATAAAACCATCCAGTGTTTGGCAAATTTAAAATGACATAATCATTACTTAGAAACTATAAAACTAGATAGAATAGGAAAAGCAAGGCAGCCAAAGATTAAACAGAGAAGCATTAATCCAATAAGAAACTAGTAAAATGAATTCTATAAGTAATACCCAAAAAAGTTTGAGAACCTTGACATGAGGATTGAATGTAAATGGCATTAGTAAGGCAACGGATACAAGAAGTATTAGAAAACTAAAGTTCCAATATTTTTAACAGTCAACTAATCATTATGCTCAGCGACAGATCAAACTAGTTCAGTTAACCAGTAATCATGTAATTATATAATTTAGTATGAATAGATGCATGGGGGAAATAATTTCAGATATATATCCAAACAATTATATCTAAAAAAAACTTGGAAAGAAAGATAATGGTGGTTCCGTTAACACAAGCAATAACATCTATTATAACCTGATCAGCCAGATCATAAACCAGCTTGGAATCTTCTCCATATTTTCCCATGAGAGTTTCTCTCAACTCAAAAGCTGGAGTATCCAAGGCTGTGGCGCCATGCCGCTCAAAAACTCCCTCAATAATTGAAAATGCTTTCTTTCTAATTGCCATTTGTTCTTTGGCAAAATCCCGAGTGCCCTGATATGAAGATCAAGCAGTTGAGTTAAACTAACAAATACCTTACTCTAAATGACTAAGAATACTAAATCAAATAAAAAGATAGCAGTATTAATATTATTCTAATGAGAGTCCACTTCCCTGACAAAAACAAGAGGAATTTAGGTGAAGTTCTGAAATATGTCATTACCTTGGGAAGCTTCGGTAGCCTCCTACTTTCGTTGCTTTCAACTATCTCTTTGATTTTCCTCAATAAATTATCAAACCCGGAAGCCTTCGGATCCAAAAAGGATAAGAGATCTTTTACCAAGTTCTCCAATGACCCCAGACCCCCACCTTTACCCTGCAATTTATCCTTAATCAATTGAACAACCACGCTACTCCCTTTACCCAACACTGCTTTCTTCTTCTTCTCATTCTTTTTTACCACCTTCTCGTTAGCTCCATTTATGTCAACATCTTGACCCTTCCCTATCAACTCACCGCCTTCAATCGTCATGAAGGCTGCTATGGCCTCCCAAGCGACAATTTTCCATACAGTAGCGAACAACACGTTTACAGTATGGACAAACTCAACGTACTTTTCATCCAAACCCAATTCGGAGACCAACCTATATTCCCTTTTGAGACTCTCGCTACTAGGACATTCCCTATCAAGCAAACCCGCCAGACTCGCCTTCATATTCTCATCGCCATTTGAACCCAAAATCAACTTTACTCTGTCCAGACTACACTTTCCCAAGTCCCACAGCATGGCTGCAAATGACAACAATACGGTCCGAACGGCATCCTCTGTCCCGGAACTCAAGGACCCCCCTCCTTTCCCAATTTTGACACTAGAATTCAACTCAACCCGCATTTTCGAGTGCACCAACTTCGCCTGCTCTCTCAAGCATCCGTGAGTTTTTGGAATATTGGAGATGGCTCCACTCTCGATCTTACCCACTAACTTAGAGCCATTTAGAAATACCTTCATGTCATTGGCGATTCCTACCTCCTCCTTCGAAGCGAACCCATCACCCGAGTCCAGCAAACTGAACGCAGACACGTCAGCTCTAGACGCCTCGCAAGATATGCTAGCCACAGCATCAGCAATGGAAGATAGTGCTGCTGATTGATGGTCCAGCAACGCGCAAATTCCATTCAAAATATAGCATGATTGCTCGAACACCGATAACTCCTCGGGAGTAACGTCAAGCGGTTCAAATTGTAAAGTTTCTGGATTTGAATTGAGGGTCTCCGCAATTAGAATAGGAATTACCGATCGAATCCCGGAAGAAGTAGAAATGATGAGCTTGTTCAGGAGGACAACAAGGGACGCCCTGGCTTCATCGCGAGTTAGAAAATCGGGAACGAAGAGGTGGTGCTTGATGGATGCAGCATTTGGATTGTTGGACGAAGAAGCAAGCCTCTCGAGGGAGGACGAGTCGATCCGAACCAGAGAGAAGCCATGAGCAATGGCGTAGACGGAGGTAGATGCAAGCGATGAACCCTTTCCTCCAAGCGTGATCACGGAGAGCTCAGCAGCAGGGTCTGCCATTGAGAAAAAGCGTTGGAAGGGAAGTGAAGTGGGGGTGGGAAGAAGGTTCAGGAGTGGAGGTTGGCGACGGTTATTTTAGGGTTATGGAGGCGATGGAGGCGGCAAAGGAGGGTACCGGAGGAGTGAAGAAAGGAAACGCAACCATTAAACCGGACCGATACGGATACGATTCGTAATTTCATATTCCATCCCTATTTATAACCATACAATTGAAAGTAATAATAATAAATACTGGAATCTTCATTTGTTTATATGTAAAATTATCGTAATAACCTCAATCAATTTCTGATTAAGGTTTAAAAATGTAGACTAGACTTTGTTTTATTGGAAACAAATCACCAAAGATTTTGAACACTTCTCTGGCAAAAGTTGAGATGGAAAGTTGTTCAAGTTAACCCAAGTTGACCTCTTTTCTTTTCTTTTCTTTTTTTCTTTTTTTTTAAAAAAAATTTATTTTTATAAATATAAATACCATCTTCCCTTCTGTTTTATTTTGTCCTTCCAACGTAAATCACAACACATTTATTCTCCTTTATTGACTTGACCTGCTAGCCAAAGATTTGCAAAAGTCAATTTAATTGACTGAGTTCCAAGTTTATGACAGCATTATATATTTATTTATTTATGGTGGAAGAGTTGGAGTTTCTAATTTTGTATTACATTTTTAGTTTTTTGGGACTGGGCTACAATTGGGCCTCTCCTGTTGTTACCTGCTGTTTTGGGCCCATTCAAAACCCATATTTCTAATGCACTTTGTCCACCAAATCACATTGAACCCAAATAATCGATTTTAGTTGAAACAATGACTGATATCTTATCCACTAACCTATGTATGCTATGTTTGTTTGAGTTAACTACAACACCACCAACCAACTCAAGCTTATCGAAAACTAAATTGATTCAAATTTTTCTTATTCTCTTTAGTAGACAACAAAATATAAGAGGCAATTAGTATCCGCTTGGTAATGCTATACGTTGAATATATATATACATACATACATATAAATAAATAAATAAATATATAAATATAGTTTGAAAATGTACAAAAGAAAAAAAAAAAAAAAAGAAGAAGAAGAAGAAGAAGAAGATAAGAACACACCCATTTGGAACTGGCAATGGTAGCATCATCGAGTATTGTTATGTACAGTCCAGCAAAAAGGAAAAGGAAAAGGAAAAGGGTAATGTGTGGTGGTGTTGTGTTGTGATGTTGCTACAAAATTGTAGACAGAAATGAAACTTAAGCTCTAATTCGAAAAAGAATGAATGGTGATTGCAGAAGAAGAAAAGGAGATGCCCCCCCTACTACTAGCTTTATGTTGTTGGCTTAAGCTTAGGCTTCTTGAACTGTGAAGTGCAATGCAATGATAATAGTAATAATAATAATAAAACATTAAAACATTGCTTGCTTTTATATATATATACTTACTGTATAGTATTAGATGGTGGAAATGATGAAGTGCTGAAGATGAACCACCATCACTGTAACATCGTCCATGTTCCCCCTTCTGAATGACATTTCCATCAGCCTTTTGCATGCCTTCATGCCATCATTATCCTTCCTTCCCATTTCCCTCGTCACTTCATCCACTGCCTCCTGATCGTTTACCTGTTTTTTTTTTTTTTTTTTTTTTT